TAGCCCACATGGACTGGCATGAAACACAGGGAGGGTGAGCTTCAAAGCAGCGGAATCAAACCAGCTCATATCAGATTCCTTTTCAGCAGCTACAACCTCTTAGAAAGAACAAGAAGAGTGACAGGAATACACAGGCTAGGAGAGTGACTACTGTGTAGGCTATCAAAGGGAAAGCTGGGAGCCCAAAAGGACCAGGACATTGACCAAGGGTCAGCCAACTCTTAACGATAAAAAGCCAAATAGTAAATATTTTAGGCCTTGAGGGAGTCTGCCACACTTGCCTAACTCGGCTACTATAGGCAAAAGTAGCCGTAGGCAGTCTGTACTCAAATGATCATGACTGGCTTCCAACAGAACAAAACTATTTGCTAAAACAGGTAGTAAGACAGATTTGTCCTGTGGGCCATATTTTGTGACCCTTGCTGTGGGTGATCAGAGAAGAAAGCCACAAAATAAGAAGAGGCAGCAGAATGCCACACTGAGCCAGGTGATGTGTTCTGCAGCTCGCATCTCTTCTTCCATCTTAACCTCTCAGCAATCAAGTAGTTTCATTATCTGCAGTTTTTAAAGACTTATTTATTAGTTTATTTGAAAGGCAGAGTGGCAGAGAAACAGGGAAAGACAGAGACAGAAAGAGATCTTCCATCCACTGGTTCACTCCCCAGAATGGTAGCCAGGGCTGGGCCATGCTGCAGCCAGGAACTCCATCCTGGTCTCCCACAGCAGTGGCAGGAGCACAAGTACTTGACACAACTTCCATTCCCTTCCCAGCCACATTAGCAGGAAGCTGGATGGAAAGTGGGACAACTGGGACTCCAACTGGTTCTCATATGTGAGATTCTGGTGTTGCGAGTGGTGGCTTAGCTAGCTGAGGCACAACACTGGCCCTATAGCCTGCATTTCAAAGATAGAGAACCTATGGCCCAAAAAAAAAAAAAAAAAGAAAAAAAAAAGGCAGAGAAAATTTTCCAAGATCAAAAACAGTCTAGTTTCAAAACCATACTGATCTGATTTTAAACTTCCTTTCCCTTCCTCTCCACCCACATATGACAGGACAGAGAATTTCATGAAAATAAACATTTCTCCTTTCTTAGCTTAGAGTACACATGAGCCATCTGCTTGAAAAGTGCACACAGTGGGGCTAGCATCACCTGCTGGAATATACCAGTATCTCATCCTGGAATGCCAGTTTGAGCCCTGGCTGCTCAGCTGCTGATGCAGCCTCTTGTTAATGCACCTGAGAAGGCAGCACAAGATGGCCTGAGTGCTTGGCCCCTGCACCCATATTAGAAACCCAGATAGAGTCCAGGCTCCTGGCCTCAGCCTGGTCAAGCCCCAACCATTGCAGCCATTGTGATGTGAGCCAATATATGGAATATTCCTGTCCACACCCCCATAAACTCTGCCTTTCAAATAAATAAGTCTTTCCTAAAAATTACAAAGGGCAAACATTGCCAAACCCTTAATTATCGAGCTTCTTAGCCTAATAGTAAATCCAGCCTTGCTTCCTATCACTAAAATATTCCAAAATTAAACATCAGAAGTATCAAATTTCAGAAGCAATTTGTTTTCTTCCCTGTGAAAACTTTTTAATAGAAAGTAAACCGTTATCAGAAATTTCTTACAAAAATAACTTCCCTGGGAGCTCTGAGGTTGGTTTGGACTCAACCCCATCTTCTCATTTTCTGTATAACGTTACGATGAAAACTCAAGTTCTTAATGATGACTCTGAATCATCCTGATCCTGAATCATCAAAAACTAAATCATGTTCACTAAACCAAAAAAATATTTTCTAAAGCAAGAAAACTATTGCATTATAGAAATTAGCTGGCAAAGTCCAAACAAAAACTAGCATCTGGCTTAGAGCTTTAAACACTACTTCCCCCAAAATGTCCACATAAATAACCATTGTAGAAAAGTTCAGTATATGGCAAGGCAAGTTTAACTTAGTTCCTGAATGCAATTATAATGCAAAGCAATAAATGGTTCAAGCTATCAAAGCCCAAACATAACCCTTACACAACGTTCGCTATCATTCTTGCTATAAAACATTTGATTTTTAGCCAGAAGACCTATAGAACCAATCAGGAAAAACACCGGTTTGTTCTTACTCCTGCTCAGCATAGACTGTTATCTAAGCAATTTAAGCATATCAGTCATCAAGTCTATTGTAAAGACAACAAAATTATTATTGTTCAAAAGTCATCATCTCTTTCAACATATGGTCTCTCTTCTTGTTGTAAGTGCTTGCAGAATGCCACAGGCTTTTGGCTACACATTCTCCAAGTCTTCCTTGTAACCCCACCGATCACGGGGTGAACAGTCTTCTCCAAAGTCAGGAACAAGAGCCAAGATGTCTCAACCCACTGAGATGCTATAACAAACCAGAGAGATGGGCCAGGATGGAAAGCTAAAGAACCATTCTTTAAATTCTGGATCCTTATCCTGGCCACCAGAACTTTCTAGACCAAATGATTTCCAACACAATCTACTCACCAATCTCAGCTTCCCATAGAATATTTCTATGCACCACTCTGGAGTCCGGAGAAAACAGAATGGTGCTATCCTAAGCCTGTCAGCTAAGACACTTCATGGAGTTACCTCTGCTATGCAACTTCATGTCTTTAACATGTAGTGAGTCCCAAACCACTTCAAGGTTGGACCTTCCAGCAGGCCCTTTGCACTTCAAGAATAGAGCTCAGCAAATAGGAGCCCCATAATGACTACTATCTGCAAATTTCCAATCCAACTCACTTTGGACCAGGGAATTCCAATCTCTTCCATGGAGAAACAAACCAGACTTAGCAAAGAATTTTCCAAATCTATTGCTTAAGTGCAAACTCTCAGCTTTGAAGCCCAAAGGAAAAAAATGTTAACCTACTTCTTTCAATATTCATACCCTACTAACTCAACCAAAGAATGCTCTTGTCTCTGAAGAATTCAGGGAAAGTTAAGGGTAATGGAACAAAACTTCGGGAAAACAATAAAGTTACTAGTTCAAATAGTATCCCTGAAAAGAACTGAAACACAAATATCTTAAAGAGATTCAGGGGACAAACACGCCAATTTTAGGTGGGTCCCCCTCAGACCAGGGCAGTATACCAAATTCAAAATTAAATTTCAAAACTGAACAAAAAACGCTTGGATCCAAATGAGACACAAGAAGAAGAAGAAGAAGAAGAAAAACAGTGCACTTACCAATCTTTATGGCGAGTGGAGACTGAAGTCTTATTCTCCAAGACCCAGGAGGTAGATGGAGATCTAGATTCCAAAACAAAGGATAGATATGTTTAAGACTCAAGGCAAAATGACTGGGTCAAATTTTGGGGAAATTCCTGCCAAAGTATATGTATTCAAATAGTTTGGTATTATACTGCTTATCATGGAAACCATTGGTGACAATCAGCCCTTTGTCATCCAACAAATCAAAATGAAAGTTAATGAAACTAGTCAGTGGGCTCTTAAAAACATGAAGCCATGAATACATTACGTTTAACAACTCAAGTGTTTTAACCTTATAATAGAGCACAATGACTGAAAATATCTGAGGGCTCTTGGAATCAGAAATGCCAGTGGAAGGTTGCCAATCTAATCCAGTATTTCCTGACCCAGTGTGTACTGTGGATCAAGAGCTACCTAAAGTCTTTACTGCAAACTCCCAAAAACAAGAAGAGAGAGATGCAGAGATGAGCTTCCCAGAGACCAGCGTCTCTGGACCAGCAGAAAAGGCAACAGCCTCCAAATGAGGATGGCTCATTGCTCACCACAGACCAAACAAAAGACAGATCAACTAAACAACTAAATTAAATTTTTTTAATGAGAATGAAATCACTTAAAGGCAGTTTAAGTGAATATATAATTGCTTTAGGTAGAGAAAGATTCTCCATGGGAAAAAAAGAATTGTGAGGGTGGACAATTGAAAAAAAAATGTTAGGGGTTAAGACATTGACTAGGTACCTCATAACAATTCCAGGGTTCAAGACTTAGCTTTGCCCCCAGTTCCTGCTAATGCACATCTTGGAAGGCAACAAGCAATGGTTCAAATAATTGAGTCACTGTCACTCACATGGGAAGTCTGGATTGGGTTCCTGGCTTTCAGCTTCAGCCTTGCTCAGCCCATTTGAAGAATGAATAAGCAGATAAAACATACATATCCCTCCATTCTATCTCTCTCTTCTCTTCTCCCCTCACCCCCCCCCTCTTCCTTTTCTTTATCCTTCCTTCTCAGGATAATCAATTAATTATACAATATTAAGGCACTGGAATACCTAGAACTTTGCACTTCTCTCTACTGTAGGACATAGGAGTACATGTTTATTGCCATTTGCAACTGCAAATTGATTTGTTTGATCTTTTGATTAATTCTGTCCCCCAACTAGGCCATAAGTCACAGGAGGGCAAGCATGCTACCATGGTTCTACCATACCCAGCAAGGTCTCTGACATATGCTTGACTCCCATGTTATTAGCCAAATGAATGAATAAGATCAATTGTTGGCAATATTAGGAAATTGGGCAAAGATGACACCAATGAGGGAAAAGAACAAGCCTTATGACAGTAGGAAGTAGGGAGACTGAAATGAACCTTCTGCAAAAAAGCAAGAGAACTCTAGAAGCTACCACAGTTATGACATGAGAACTAGAACTTTCTGCCCATTAATCCAAAGAAGTAACACAGAAGTTTACCTTGAGTCCCAGATTCTGGGGGAAATCTACTAGCCCACAAGGTACACCTCAGCTTAAAAGAAAGACAGTCCCAGAGAACACAGAGCTCAGATTTGCCAACCTCTTGAGCACATGGAAAAGGCAGACATGAGGCAGCCTGGGAAAGAGTACAGGGGCAAGGTCGACAGCTCCAAGGACACTTTAAACTCTTTCACAGTTTTACAAGGACTGACCCAGCACAGACCACTAATATGGCACTCCAAGGAGGGACTGTAATCTTCCCTTTATCAGGTCTGTGGCTTGACAGACCTAATGAAATACCTTGTGTTTTTCAGAATGCCGAAGCAAGTTATGACTTCAGCAGCAACGACCCCTATCCTTACCCTCGATACACAGATGACTGGTTTAACAGGTAACCAGAATTCTTGGGCATCTTTGACTTGAAGCAATGAGATTTTATTTCACTTTGCTTTAACGCTTGACCATCACCAGCAAAATCATCACAATGCTTCTCTATACTGTGAATTTCTTTTCTTCCTAGTGGCTCCATTCTATAAGTTCTCAATTTTTTTTTTAATATTAAGGCACTTTCTTAGAATTATCTTTCAACAATTCTGTTCAGTCAAGCCAGGAATTATTTGCTACTTTAATCTCTTAAAGATTTTTTTTTAAGTAGAAATCACAAGTCCTTTCTTAACCTACCACAAGATGATTTGACAATACTGACTTTGCTTGGTCTGCTACAATTATTGCAGAGAAACTTGTCCCTTAGGTTTGGGTCTGTGTTTGAAAAAGTACTTCCTCTATAAATTTAACAACAGCTCATGTGAGGCTCACTCAACAAAAGTAAGCATTACAGGTAGAGGTTTGAAGTATTGCATGGGATAACGTTCCTATCACATAAAACTACCCAAATGGTCTATCCAAAGATAGTTTTGCTACTAAACATGCAAATTCAGCCTCTATTTTTCTGCAATTAAATACATGCCCAAAATGGCAAATAAATATAAGGAATGTCAAGAGAGAAAGCATATGGCTTACTGAATAAAAGAATGTTTAGATATTTAAACTTAGTGCTCCTTTTTTGATGTCCTTAAGTAAAGTTAATGAAAACCCATTAATTTCAATGTAATATATTTTATGTGTGGATCACTGTATCCATTTCTCTCACATCTCAAACCAACCTAAGTTGCACATAAGACAAAAGCTGATGTTTTCCATCCAGTAATAAAGAAACAAGCTCAGAGAGTTGACTGGCTTCTCTGATCAGACAACTGGAGTACAAGTCAAAGCCAAGGGTAGATTTACACTTCACATTGCTTCTAAATTCAAATATATATAATTCTTTTATGGCAATCCTTTTTCTCGGCCTACTGAAAAAGCAGAATGTCTGTAGAAACACCAGGGTAGATTTCCAGTGGCCCACACAGCTCACTTGTGTGTCCACATTGAGCAAGTACAATTGAGAGTGGCACTGGCAGAGACAGGGTCCCAGAGATTGGTAACACAGAAAAGCATGAGAAAAAAAACAAGATGTAACTTTATAACATAATGGTCAGTGTCTAATAGCATGCTTCTTGATCAACTTTACCTGCAGCCTGAATATGATCACACGATCACACAGGACTTAGATCTATGAAGGTGGAAGCTGAGACTGTATTAAAAATGTCTGATAACTTTGGGCATGAAATGTCATTTACCCTCATAACTTATAACCCCATACCCACAAATATCCTTAGCAAATAAAGCCTTTTCAGACACAGGGATATATAGTTGCCAAACAAGTGTCACTTAGCCAGGAGTTGAATATAATTAGCAACTTGGAGCACCATGTGGAAAAGGGTCCAGCTCCTTTATGATTGAGTAGCCACCAGCCACATGGTATCAGAAAAGAAGGCAGCAACAAATGTGTTGGCTACTTGCTGGCTCCCTGAAGCTAAAGGTACTAAGTTTCTCTTCAGTGGATTGATCCAGGAATACAAAGGGTCTTCAAAAATATTGTGGAAAAACATGCATTGTGAGAAAGAAATCATGTGTGGACTTCAAATCTTTCTCTGTTTGGTTATTTTCATCTGTCTGAAGGGCAGTGAGAGAGAGAATCTTCTATCTACTGGCTCACTGCAGCAAATTCCCTCAATATCCAGGGCTGAACCAGGAGTCTGGAATTTCATCCAGGACTCCCTCATATGTAGAAGGGGCCCAAGAACTTGAAGTATCATGTCTCCCGGAATGCAGCAGCAGGAAGCTGAATTGAAAGCAGAGTAGTCAAGACTCGAAACAACGCTTCGATATGAGATACCAGCATCCCATCTTAACCCTCTAGGTCAAAATGCCCTCCCTCAAATTAGTTTTGAATTCCAGTTTCACTGAATGGTTGAAGCACCTTTATATAATCCCTAACCACATTTTCTGAACCAAAACACAATATGCCCCAACCAAATCTTCCTGGATGATGTGCTGAAATAATACTTCAAATAAAAAAAAATAGCATTAAGAAAATGTCTTCTGTCTTAAAGCACTGCATATTTCCAATTGCAAACTAGTTCTTGAAAGTACCATTTTAAACCAGCTAGAAACCTCTAATTAGGGCTAATTATGCTTGGAGTAATAAAAATTCATCATTGTTGGTGAAAAGAATTCCCAAGTTTCTAATTACTCACGACACATACATAGTGACTCAGGCAGGCACCATCTTTGGGTCTTAAGGAGCCAATGATTCAAGACAGAATGTCCACTTTGACCAATAAATGTGCTTTTCCCAATTATCAAGTCATTTTCAGAGATCCTCGACCAGCACGAATTGTTGTTACAAAGACTGAATGATGCCACACTGAAATCATGAGCTCTGGGGACATAACTGCTGCTGTAAGTGATGTGGGAGGATAATGTGTCAGAGCTCAAAACCTTGGTCCAATGGCTGGCATCATCCTGGAGATGGAAACCTGCTTGGCATAAACAGGAAGAGAATAAAGCAACCTTCCCATGAGTGTAGGATATATTTATTCAAGAATCACGCTGGGAGGATATGCTCTTTTCCCTGATATTCACTACTACTGACATGTTGAAGAAGGAGGGAAGAGAATGGGTTGGAGTGCAGAGAAAATAAAAATTTGTCATGAATTGGTCATTGCCAAAGCCAGGGGATTGGTACCAAGGATTTCATGCTATTTTGCAGATTTTTATATTTTCTACAATAAGAAGTAAATTTGAAAAGCACAGAGCATAAAAAAAGAAGCAAGAAAAATAACAGACTTTAGTTTGGCACTTATCAAAGAGCTTGTAATTTCATACGAGGAGGCAACAGATGCCCAATAACTACACTGGAAAATGTTGCCTAGGCCAAAATAGCACAAGTGCTCTGTGTGTGTGTATGTGTGTGTGTCTTTCTCTCTAACTCTGCATTTCATATAAATAAAAATAAATCTTTTAGAAAAAGAAATGCTTAAAATACACATTGAGCAGGAACTATTAAGACACTGTTTTTAAGCACTTTGCATGTACTAATTCAATTACATCTCACAATCACCCTCTGAAATAGGTATTACCATAATTATTTCCATTTTGAAAACTGAGGCACAGAAAAGTAGCTTGTGCAAAGTCATATAACTAATACACGGTGAAGGAAACGTTTGATGCTAATTAGGGGGTCACCAATCTAGTATATGAAGGAAGCTAAATATGGAACTGAAGGAAGGGGCAAATGCACTCCAGGATAAGAGTACAATACAACTAAGGCAATAATGGGGAGACAGAGGGGTGCAGGATGCTTTTGAGGAAGTGGTAACTGTAACTGATGCGCCAAGCAAAAGCCAGTGCAAGGATTCTAAGGAGTCCTAGAAGAGGTGAGATGCAAAAGGTTTGGATGAGGTTTTGAGAGAAGAAAGGAAAGATGTGGTGGTTGGGTCAGAAACTGGATGAGGAGCATAGAGGAAGATCATTCTGCCATTGCACTTAAAGAGGATTGCCACCCAGTAGGAACCTTGAATCTGGCACTTGCCGTTGGCAAGGGCAGCATCTACAGATGTTTCAGCAGGAACCCCTGGCCAGCTGTGCAGCCACCAAGACATGCAAATGGCTTTTCAGGTACTCTCTGGGTGCGGGCATCATATGTGGTGCCCATCTCTGTTTGGGGGCTCTGTTAGGGGGATCATGCTAACATACACCAAAACCCTGATAAAGGCCATGGGGTGCTGAGAAGCCAAGGGCTCAATGCTGTTGGCTCTGTTGTCTCACAACAGAGACACTCAGACAAGTAGAATGTTTGCTTGGGTTGGCAAGCCAATGCATCTTTCCCAAGCCATCCTGACTTTCAAACCAACATATCACACCTACATACTGGCTTAATAACTTGTTTCCCTTCAAGTGTATTTTTTCAAAACATATTGGAAACTCCAAGCCATGGTTCCTTTATGAAAACAAACTTCTCACATACATAGTACTGCTTTCAAGGAGCCTGCATTGAGAATGTATTAATTTCCACTTTTTTTTTTTTAGGACTGTTCTTTTTAAGCAGAGCAAGTGTATCTATTCTACCGTGAACCACTTAATAGACACATATGATATTGAAATTCCAGAGATACATGTGCAAAACAACTGAGAAATCTGAAAAAGCAGTTTGATTTTTCCCCTAGCTTGCACTCAGGAAAATAAATCTGCACAAATAATAATAATAACCTGGATTACAAAATGGTAGAAAGTAATACTCATTTAATGAATATCATTAATGAACAAAACAGAGAATTGATTTGCTGTGTGGGATCTGGCATCACATCTCCTTCCTTGCTGGCATTCAATAAATATTGATCGACTGGCTGATGGATAGGTGGTTTACCTTCTCAGCCATGCTGAGATGTTGAGTGGCCTTGACATCTGTCCATTTTATGAGCTGTCTGCTGCTTACAAGGTTTGCAGCCCACGTTTGGTCAATAATCTTGCAGCCTTGCTCAGTTTTAAGTCAATGTTTGGTGATGCATTGCAGATCTGTATTCCATTACTATGCTGTTGTCCATAAAACTCCATCTTGCATAGCATTTCCTTGACAGGCATTCACACTGAAATGTCATCTCTGCCACCAGCAATATTTATGAAGCATCAGAGGATGCAGCACACTCTATCTATTAAACCTTAAAGAGTAAGGGTTTCTGGATTAGATGCTATCCCTGGCTGCAAAAAGTTTACTATAAATTCGGAGGAGGGAAGACATTTATTACTCAAGCAACCAGAGTGGGGAATGCAGAAGATGAAATGGATACAGAAGAACATTTATCCTGTGGGAGTTAATTTGAGTGACAGCATTCACTAAAGCCTCAAACAAGAACAAATCTCAGTGACAAACTTTTCTTTTTTACTGAAAGTCGTATTTCATTTTGAAGAACTCTACATGTCTGGCATCAGAGGAATGTGTGGGGAACA